ACGTGAGATTATTGTTATATCGTCTCTAATATAAATCTACACAAGTTAAATGTGTTGGAAAAAATGTAATTTCAAGGGAGGGAAAACTTTACTATTTTAAAAACTGTAACACTAAAATACACAAAATGATTAAACTTGTTTTATATTCAGTATGTTATTTAACATGGTGTATTAGCAAGGTTAAAAAAACGTACATTTAATACGAATTCTTCGGTCGGTAGTTCATCCGCCATCTTTGATTTGCTGAAAAATTCCTCACGGCGCAATGCATTCTGGGATACCGTTGGCCGTGTAGGCTACTCAGATGCAGCTGACAAAAACTCAAACGTCGGCTTCATTTGTCTAACCCATTCGTAGGCACTGACAATCGGGACAGCCTACGGTGCGGGGTAGTGACGTCAGTGGCCAACAAATGCAGCCGACGTTGGCTGCAACCCATAAATTGAGACACAGCCATTCTGTCCTAGCTGTGGAACACTAGCCTAGCTCCTTATACTCATAAGGATCCACGGAGTGGCATGGGAGTTTACCCAACATAGTCTACATGTGTTTTGTGGACTTGGAGAAGGCATTCAACTGTTCCCTGGGGTACACTGTGGAGTGTGCTCCATGAGTATGGGATTGGGGGTTTGTTGCTACTGGCCTTTCATTAATATACAAATTGTGTGAGAGTCTGGTTCACATTAACCACAGTAAGTCAGGTTCTTCTGGGTGTGAATCAGACTCTTTTAGAGCTTCTTGTTTTTGCAAACTCTGTTCATAACTTTTATAGTCAGAATTTCTTGACTCAACTAGGTGGCATAAGGGGTTTAGCTCTGTGACCTCAAAATTATGTCTCTTGCTTGTTGACAATAGGGGCAGCAGATTTGAAACTGCTAACAGAATGATGTGATTTTTTTTATCATAAGACTGCATTAATGAGAGCCCATTTTGGCAGTTCAGATGGAGCCTGCAGAGACATTGAGTCTCTGATGGCTGGGAAGACCTTGGGGTCCTCCCAAAAGAGCTGGAAGGGGTGGCTGTGCAAAAAAGATGTCTGGGCCTCCCTGCTCAAACTACCGTTCCCGCAGCCTGATTTCTGAAAAAAGGGATGAATGTATGGATGGATGGAACATGGTGAAATTTGTTGTGTGTGTGTTTTTATTAAAAAATTTTATAGATTACCTGAGTAGTTTTAGAACCTGGTAAAGACTAGATAATTCAATTGTACCCTGATATGTACACCCCTAGACATACAAGAGGGTGTATTTTCTTTCTTCTAATACTGTAATTACTTTTATGTGTCTGATTGGACAACCTCAGGAGCCTGCTTAAAGTTTAGTTGTCTCAGTCAACCAAAGATGTTGAACTCAGGCAATGTACAGGGCCATGCTGACTAACTCCTGTGCATTGCTAATAAAGCATTTTTAATGAGATTGGCCCTCACATGCTTCAGCCAAACTTGTCTTTCCACTCGGCCTCAGCACAGAATGGTGTAAAGTTTCATGCAGATCCTCAGAGGTTAAGTTCAGAGGGCAGCCGTTTCAAGTTGCATAACATCTTTTACAGTCTCTATTGTACGTTGGCTGTCTGTCATTTTTTTTTTGTGGTCAGCCGGCACTCAGAGATAACCCTGTCTTTCATCCAGCTACCGTTGACATTTGCCTCTTTTGACCGTAACAGAAAGGATCGAGTGCACTGGCTAAAGAGTCCAGAACAAGTCAAAGGCAAAGCACTGATGGTTCACTTTAGAGTGCTCTACTGTTGCATAACAGCCCACTCTCAGTGTATCAGTATGTTGTTTATGTAACTTAAGTGCAAGGAGACAAGTGAGAAAGTGTTCCTAAAGGAAGAGCAGTATACAACATACTAAAGTCACCTAATGGAGACCATTCTTGTAATTGTGTTTTCCACATCGTCTATTTTCTATTTGTTTGTTTCTTTTATTGCATTTCCTGTTTTGAGTAAATAGTGGCATAATATACATATGAAGTTGTATTGATTCTCTGTATTACCGTACTTTCTTCCTTTTAGAAGTACTTGACTAATTTTATACTGAGTCCCCTCAGAACAGGCTGTTTGTTGAGGCACTGTTGGCCTGGACTCAGTTTTAGCAGCTGGAGCTTGTGGACAGTATCAAAGGCTAAATGGTGACAGGGTGAGAACTGGGTTTTTGGTAGAGGCATTAAAATAAGAGATAAGAGCCTCTGGACCACTAGAGTATTTCCCAAAAGTCATGGACTTGATATGTTAAAGAAAAACAAGAGGGAGTTAATTACATATTTCTGCAAGTATAAACAGACATTTAACAAGACAGCCTAATGGATCCTCATTAGCTACTATTCCAGACTTTGTCTTTATTAGTCTATCATCATGTTTATTTATGTAATCTTGTGTTTGTATGTTCTTTTTTTGTTATCCAGGCTGGTGTCCACTGTGCACGCCTTGATTGTGGGTTTGTTCTGTTTATATATCCTGTGGTTTGACGACGCTGTCAACGCCAACCCTGTCTGGTAAGAGGAACACAAAGGAACTTGTCAGTTTCCACAAATGTAGTATACAAAGTAGAAAGAAACTGAACAAAATGAAGAAATTTTGAAGGGTCCCAATGTAGCTACTGCCCAAAATCCCAACTTCCAACCACTTTTCTTTTCTAAAGCCAAATATTATTTATTATGAAAGAGTCTAAGCTGATAAAATGGTTATGTTTTGGTGGGTTAACTCTGAGATGTGTAAATGTAACCAATATCAAAAGAGAGGTTAAATTTTCTACCAGAGGCTCATTAGGGTTACTGTGGTAACTTCAAGCCTGTGTCTCTCACTTCTGAACAGCACTGTTTATAAGACATACAGACAAAAACTACATAGCAATTAAGCCTTAAAGTCTGGTTGTCACAAGTTAATTTTTTGTGTCTGCAGTAGAGATTTGCCAAATTAAAGAGATTCTTACCTTCCACTTTTAAAGATACCAAAGGTTTCACACAATACTCTCGGTTTAGCTGTTAGCTTTAATTGGTTTATCATTGGGCATTGGCCTTTTTATTAAACAATAGTTTATTTGTAACATCTAACCAATACAATCCTATAAAACACCTAAACCTAAAAGGAACGGATTGGGTTTTCTAAATTTAAAAGACAGTAGAAAAAAGTTTAGAAAAAATAAATAAGATAAGAATCGTCATTTCTGAAGACTCTGAAATGGGATTATGATTGCTCTGAATGTTTTTACCCGAGAGTGGTGTTCTCACTGTCTTGTCAGATTGGCAGGGATGAAGATGGGTTGTGAGGAATGGTAGATGATCATCAGGACTGTGGGTTGACATCTTTTGCAAAGACAAGGAGGGTGTTTCTATCTTCAGAATGAAAGAATGAGGGGGGAGAGTGGATCTAAAATGTCAGAAGTGTCTCCTGTGGGCTGTAGATTCACCGGATTTGGCCTTTGATTTCTGTCTTTGCTGTCGTCCCCCTGTCTGTTTTTTCAACTCTCTCTGCTACCACTCACTGTATCACTAACATCACTGAGTCATGAAAAAAGATTTTTTTTAACCATTTCTCTTTAGCTTTTCATGCATTTTCTTAAATTAACTTCAGCATTTTGTTCTGCTTCTCTCCTCGTCTTTGTTTGTTTCACTTCCCCTGACTGTCTTGCAAACTGAAATCTCACCGAAAACATTTCTTTTTATAGCCACTAGTTTCCAGCCCAACCCCCCCTACCCCCAACAGACCCCTTCACACACTTCCCCAGCACTGGTGAGCGTCCTCCTGCCTCTGTCTGTCCGTTGTACCCCACATCTCTAGCTGTCGAATCAATGCAGCTCACCTCCTGCACTTTGATTGTCTCTCTGTAAGCCTGGCCCGGCATCGCTTTCTACAGCAGACTTGGGGGAGAAAAGAGAAAGTAGAGAAGGGTGGGGGCTGGTTAAGAAATCGGGGAGCATAGAGAAAAGACAAGGGGCTCTCTACTCCTCCTCTGAACAGTTTTCATCTGCTGATAGTTCAGGAGCTCAATGTTACTTCTCCCCTCCCGGCATTTTTTTCCCACAAACATATTCTGCAACAATATTTTTTTCTTGCATTTTGTCTTTTTTCTCTCCTCCTGAGTTTCTCAGTTTATCCATTCAGCTAGCAAGGCCCTACCAAACACATAATAAACACCAAAAACAAAAGCTGTTTTTGTTGCATCATTGCAGTGGTGCAGGCATTAATTCTACCGTCTGTCTGATGGTGTTACGACATCATTAAGGAGTGTCACACAGCACATTGTTCTCTGCCTGCTGCTRTCAGCGTCTCTGAGTCCGACTGTTGGACATCTGCGTTGTTTTCAGACTCTTATCAGAATCCATTCAGTTAACAGCAGCTCTGACAGGCTCGGCTCTGCTGCGTTTCTTGATTGGCTTGTCTGTACTTGAACCTAATATGTGTACGGCACATTGTAGAGAATGAAGATTGTACATTTAGAACACCTGGCCTCACACCAGATTGATGTCACTTTCTTAATGTCTCTTATTTCAGTTTCTTGCTTAAAGACAGAGGTGTCATGTCAGCTGATTTAATATTTACATGTTTGAAAGGTTTTTACAAAAGCTCAAGTAAAATGGTAATTATGGTCAGGTTTACATCCACTAAATATGTCATAATAATGGGATTTTCAATGATTTATATGAACCGTTCTTTTCCCAGGTTAGAATAATTATACATCATACAACTTCAGTGGTTTTTAAAACAAGAATTGGTTGCACAAATTGATATTATTGTGGATTTTCTCTAATCCGCATAAGATTTAGTTACGCAATATTTACCCAAAAACACTTGCACGCAATGCTTCAGGAAATCAACCTCCAGAGATTTTAGCAGTCTTTTTGGAATCTGACATGTTTTCATCCTGCAGGCTCAGATTCCAGGAAGTAAAACCAGGCAGAGTGCTAAGAAGACGCGCAATATGTGTGTTGGTTAAATTTGAGGTATTATTTGCAATTGCAGTTTCCCAGAAGAACTTAAAAACTGAAACTAAATTCAGATCCTGGATATGAAAGTTAATCTACACCACTTGAACCCGCAGTATGTTGAAAGAACATCTAAGTGACCTTGTTGACCTCTCTGTTTGATACACTCCTGTGAAGACAGAGGGACTGATATGGATCACTTTTAATGTTTGTTTGTTATTTATCTCATTTATCTTGCATGTAATTTTATAAGGGGCAACAGAAGGTAGAGGTTTGTCCAGTAACTGGTGGGTTGACGTTTCGAACCTCTGCTCCAGTCCTTAGGGACTTGATAAAGCGCCRTACAAGTTCAGGTCATTTATCATATTTACAATTAAAACCAAGAGAACACTAGTTACACAGAATGCAAAATGTATTTTATTAATCCAGTTAAATTCAAACCAATATCTTTGAAGGTATGGATTTACTGAGGAAAACGTATGTTTATATTATATGGACAATGGAGTCTCATTTCAGCAGATAATTCTCATAGCACTCCCTGTGTACATGTCTCTGCTTCTTTTCCAAGGGTAAACTCCACCTAATATTTCACATATGGAGTTCAGACCATGGGTTTACTGTACAAATGATTAACTAAAGCCGAATCACACTGATGTGATTATGAAAAAGCCTTTGGACTTTGTGACGACAGCTTGCAGGCGATCAGACCATTTCACTACTACTTGATCTGCCTGCTGTTCCACTTGATATATGTTTGATGCATTTCTGTCTGAGTGCAGAGGTAAAATGATCCAACTGATTGGTTAACAGAAGGAGCTCAGGAGTGAAATGGACATTAATGGGACACAAGGAGGGGCAAGAGAAACCAAATGCATCAATAACTCTGCTCTGTTGGATGAGATGAGGCAATATACATGTGATGGTGTGTTTTTGTACCCCATTTACTTGTTTTTGTAAGGCCTCTTCACACTGGGTGACCACCCCACTACACTCGCCATGATCGTGACCTTCCATGATCTTTTAGACTGAAGCAGATGTGCAGCAAATTTAGAAAAAAAACTTCTTTATTGTAAAGCAGTCATGGTGTTGCTACACCATACAATGAACTTGCACCGATCTTACTTTTTTAATTAATGTTACAACTATGTTTTTAATCTGTATTTGAGTTTTTTTTTTTTAACATTATTGGTAACTTGAGACAGGAAGGTGCTTGCCACACAAAATTTGAAATTATGTTTACATGTTCGCAATAATTTTTATTTGAGACGTTCTGTTTTAAACTATAAATAGACAATCAATAAATTATATATAGGCTACATGTTCACAGTAATTCTATTACCATTTGTTGCCCTCGTGCCCCACAAGACACATCAATCTGACCCATCACAGTTTTGCCAAACTCTGTTCACGCCCAATACTCCAACCTCCACCAATCACGGTTAGGACAAACTCCACCCACAGAACAAGATACCCCCCTCACGTACTGCATAGGGTGAGAATAAAGCTGAAGGCTAGACACCATATTCACAGCCACTTTTGTTTTCCGTCTTTGCGGTCAACCAAGGACCTGGCCCACCTTGACCAGGTAGGCCGGGTCTTTTTGAAGGACGCAGCCTCTGAATTTGGACACAGCCAATGASTTGGTGCATGTAGGACCCATGTCAGGGATACGCTCATACTCTGTTTAATGAGGCGCCTGCTACATTCTTAATACACCATTAAATACAGCACCTAGACCCTGCAAAGCAGTGGTCCCCAAATTACAGTCCGCCTCCACATTTGGCCCGGCCCCCTGAACAATACCAGAGAGGCATTATGATTTTTTTAGTCTGCCTCGTGAATCCTTGACTATTTTATTGGATTTTATCGGAGAAAATCTCATCAGTGCACCTCACACCACAGGCCACATGAACGTGATCCGCACGGTGCTGAAAACCAGCGCATCTGTCCCACACCAGGCCCAACGCTCCCTGACGCTCACACACTGTCCCACTTTTGACTCAGTAACCTTACGAAAAGTAAAACAAAAAAAAATCCACAAACGTCATTTAGTGGCTGCAGTTTGCAGCATTAGATAATGCCTCCTTATTTCTGTTTCTGCCTCCTTTGCAGGAGGACGAGAGGAGAGAAAAGCATGCAGAAAGAGATGCAGTCAATCACAATGCACCGCTGCCACTGTGTTAAAAATATTATTAAACAAAAACAGAAGAAGATTATTGATTTGATTTATGCAATAAAAAGTCCAATAATTAAAAATACTCTAAGAAAAATCTCAAGTTACGCACAGTGAGTCYACATCTGCAGGAGCCAGTGGTTCTGAAGACTAAACCCACACTCTGCTGTGATACTATTGGAATTACAAGCACCACTTCAGTTAATTGCAATATGTCAAAATGACAGACGGCCTTCAGATTTTCAGTCATTGTGTAAAAAAAACTGTCAAATGGAAAATAATGTGTGCTGCCAGTCCCGAGTCACAGAGATGAAGAGCATCTTCCTCTTCCTCTGGGTTATTTGGTTATTATGACCCCCGCACACGAAGCGTAAGCGGGAGTCATATTGTTTTCGTACTGTTTATTTATTT